CTTCTGAAAGCTCTGACAAATTAGGATTTTGGGGGCCTTAAATGGATTTCTAAAATCCATAATTTGTAATATCCTATTTAAATTTTCATACATTTGAGTATTGTCTAGGGACCTACAGATAAAGCAGGAAAGAAAGAGGGTGGGGTGAAGGGAGAAACTTGCACAGACAGATGGTCAATACCACCTCAGCCCCACCTTGGTTGGGGTCGAGGTAAGAAAATTTATGATTATAGTAATTGTTATTGTCGTGATGGAATAATAGACAATAACTGGATTTGCGTCAGGAGAAACATGTATAGGTGTAATTTTGCCGTACCTGACGTGGAAATGTACCGAATACTTATTATGGATGTACCGAATCCCTATTATGGAACTCCCTCAGCACATCATTAATAAATTCGAAAAGTAGTTATTCCTTTAAATCAGAATATAAATCGTTCCTCATATCTAATTACAGACTTTAACTCTACAAATCTTCTTTATTTAAATCATATTTGTGTCATCCTATCCAATCCCAGTTTATCTTCTTTTCACTTGTCTACCTTTATAATGTTCAAATCTATGTATGTGTTATTTATTTTTTTTTTAAAGCATTGTCGTTTCTCATTTGTCGTTCTTCCCTTGTGTTCGTTCCGTCGTGTTTTGTCTTGTCTTTGATTATGGAACAAATTACTTTTCATTTTTTTTTCTGGTGGAGCCAGCCGTAAAGCCATTTAGGCTTATTTGACTTCTCCAGACACAATTGCATTCGATTTTACTTGCATCTTTATTATTTATGTCTTGTTACCACCTTTATGCATTGTGTGAATAAATAAATATGAATATGAATATGAATATGAAAGTCTCAATCCGTACGCCTAAACCATTGATATAGAAATACGAATACTTTTGAGGAGCGATTACAGTCACTGAAACATTGCTATTGGATTTATTCGGTGTAAACACCAAGGATAGCCCACGAAAGTCTAGAAGAAGACTTATGTCCAGTGGGGTCCTTCTGGTGGTGATTGGACAGTACACCGGGAGACAATCCCCTACTCTTTTCCGAAAAGTGTACTGTGTTCTTTAACGTGCACATGGGCCATAAATGCACACGGGACCAACGGCTTAAACGTATCATCCGAAAGACGGTGCGCTATGTAACCTGTATTTCAGCCCTCTAGCTGAAACACAAGGAGAGGCAGAGTAGGAATTGAACCGGGGACCTAGAGATCTCCACGGTTCAGCGCACACACAGTGGCTACCACCAGATCAGCCGACTGAGCTAAGCTGCCATCTGCTAGTATTGTAATTTTTGACAAAAATATCGACAAGTAAATAATAAATACATATAAATCTCTCTAGGGTACGTTTTTTTATTCAGACAATTATACTATATAATATCATAATTAAATAAAATTTAATTCGTAATTGGATCGTTTTCCATATGTTGTGCTTATTTGATGTTTGATATACATTACGGCTGCGATGCATCTCTAGAATGAAAAAAAAGTATAGTGCTTATTTCTTTACAACTAACACTAACAGGCTTAAAGGTAATACAATCTACATTTATGAGAACATGAAGAAATATATCCTTACTAAGAGGTTATACCATTACCATATTTACCGTTTGCGTTCACTATTTCATGTCTCTATCGGTAAACGCATGAAAAAGATACTGGGCGTAGAGCTTTTTTTTTTTTTGGTTTTTCCATTAACGTGTCTTAACTTAGAAGGACCATCATTAAGGCTAATAATAGGCTTCTATATACCAGGATTACCAGGCAGAGTTTGATTAAATATAGTTTATTTTCAAGGATCACTATACTTACAGCATAAGTTGCAGCTCTTGGGACAATAATCTTCCATGAAATCGTAGCCTGGAAGGACGCAGTATCCACGTAGAGCCCAGTTATAACAAACTGGGTCTTTGTCAGTGCAAGCTAATTAGCAGAAAGTAAAAGTAAATTCTAACTTGTCGTGTTTGGCTATCTAGGAGATTTTTGCAGTCCCCATGGAACCCGTTGCAGACGCAGTGAATACCAGAGGTGGTGAATTTTTTCAATAAACTGTGTTCACAGGTATAGAGCAATTTGATATAATCAAAACTACAAGATCAGTTATGTTTCACACAGTGGTTATACCAGTACATGCTCTATGTTGCTCTTCCAACAATAACCAATAATATCTTATCAATAATAGTATACGCACACACCCCACCCACACACACACAAACATATACATATATATATATATCTGTCTCTTATACACATCTAGATGTGTATAAGAGACAGGTATATACTCAATAATCAGAAAACAATTCAAATAGGCGAAGAGCGGATATTTAACCAATTTTTCACCCAATGTTAATAAGTTATCTTTATTTATACCTTCCACGTTTAGACAATATAAGAAACATGCCTATAGATGTAAAATATAAAGATTTTAAAAGATGTACGTTCATTGGATTGAATCCAATGTTTCAGAGGTTAGCTATGAACATGAATATTTCCCCTCGGTTGTCGGCTGTGTTAAAATTGTATAAGCGCCGTGGACATATTTGGTCAAGGGCATGTGAACATATTGGATGTTATGCGAAATAAAACTTACAACAGAGTCCACAAGATGCAGGACAGTTGGCCTGCATGAATTGGTAATATATGCTACTACTGCTACAATAGCCACTCGCAGCCCACGAAGGACAGTTGCTGTCGTTGTCTGAGCACGATCCTCCACCATCCCCTCCTCCATTCCCTCTTCCACCTAATAATACAAGTATTAAACTCAGTTAAAATTGAAAGACATGCACAAAACATAAGTTTGTTCATCAATCAGCGATGATCATTTGAAGTTTTCTAGCTCTCTCTATGCACTAATTGAGAAAAATGAAAAATTAATATTAACAGAAAATTATTTAACGCCGTTCTGCAGTATCTAGAATGGTAGCATGAATGTAGATAAAAATGCTGTACAATATTATCAATACCGGTAACGTGCAATGATTTAAAGAAATAGGGATTCTTACTGCATTCATAATATTTGTTAATCTTCTGAATGTCAATGGTACTGAAATCCGCAATATTTCCGATAACTGCCCCGGATTGCTTTGGCACAATTGTTGGGTTGCCATTCTTGGAGAATGCATACTGATCGTAATGCATGATGGAATTGTAATCATAATTCGTCCCGAGATCATCAATGTAGGTCGATGGGTAGCTATCAAAGTTGTACGCCATACCTATCGACAAGGAACATAAAACAAAACACATTTTACATGTAGTTAAATGTATATATTCTATTTTTATTTTATCATTTTGGATTTTCTATTATCCTTTCAACACCTAATCTAAATTGCTTTTGTCAAGTTATAAATAAATGCACCAAACAGCAATTTTCGCATTATGGGTTCCTACGCAAGATAAGCCTACTCAAGATAGGCCTACTCAAGAAGGGAAGGGCGTTTTGAGATTTGTTTTCTTCCATACTTCCAACGTAAATTATAAAGATAGTCTTATGTATAACTTACCAAACTGAAGCATCTTCAATTTTAAATGTTTTTATTATTCTTAGTGCCATATATCGAAGTAAGTCGTGATTATATGTACACACATGAGAAATGTAGGCCTACATTATTGACGGTACTACTGTATCCACCGAGCTATTCTCCAGAAAAAAATGTTTATTTATAATGCCTTAACGACCGGCAGAATGATATACTTCATTAAACATTTTTTCATACACACCATCCTCAATATTATTCCAGTTGATGGTGATGTGGCTGTCACGATCAGTTCGGCTTTGTTCGTGAAAAAATCCGACCGCATGCATCATCTCGTGCAAAATAATGCCTACGTACTGGTAACAGCCGTTAGCAAGAGAAAGTTCTTGTGCACCACCAGATACTCCGACTGCTGAATAACAACTGTTGATGAAGATTAATGTTTTGTTATGTTCAAATCTGATCAAACATTAATTAATGATAGGCCTATATATAATAATGATGATGATGATAATAATAATAATAATAATAATAATAATAATAATAATAATCGACTGATGTAGATTCATCTATCCAGGTTGACAATAACAAATGTAAATTAAAACTTTATATCTCTGGATAAAGCCGAAATCAACAACAACAGACCAACGTTGAATGAAGATGGTGGAAGATATAATCTGCCAAACATATGGAACAACACTTTGAAGGCTTGAATGGAGGAGAGGGACCAGGACCAGGCCCACCCAGCCTCACCGCTGACGTCACAATCCCTATGACGCAATTTCCATCGTGTGTCATTGTGAACAAGACTACAGTGATAGTCGAAAGTTTAAAACGTAAGTTATTTTGTTTTCTGCTTCATTCAGAAATATAAAGTTTTAATTTATATTTATTAATAATAATAATAATGATAATAATATATTTCATGCTTGCTGTACCGTAGAGAGTTCTGAAAAGAACTTTTGTTTGTTGAGTATGTTTCGACCTTTTGATTGAGTTACAATAATAATAATAATAAAAATAAAAATAATAATAATAATAATAATAATAAGCTTAGTGGTAGTAATAACAAATGTATTTATAAACGTTGATTTGAGATGCTTTAAATATTATTATTTAATGTTTAACCTTACCCGTCTTTAGAAACAATATTGATGTAATTCTGTTCATTTGCTCTCTTAACAAACCTGATGCACGTCTCAGCGTGGTACCTGTCGATAGCCTTCTGAATTTGAGACTTTGCGTAGGTATCTTTACGTATCAACATACAGAATTTGAAAAAAAATATATAAATGGTTTTGTATGGCAACAATAGTAATGTTTATTCTATCCTCTAGCGGAGAACGCAGCCTCTCTATGACAACTTATAGCATAAAACACGTCAAAGTTAGGATTTTCAATTTTGGACTCATGTTTGTATTGAAATAATTCGAAAGTACAATATTACTCGGCCTGCCTCTGGCCCCAACAGATTGTCCCTGCCCCTGAATAGTTAAATACCCTGGATTCACATAATAATAATAATAATAATAATAATAATAATAATAATAATAATAATAATAATAATAATAATCAAATCGGTAGAGGTGTTTACATAGTAACGCCAGAGTGACACGTCACATCGACGTGCAGTTGCAGTTGGAATGCAAGACTTATAAAGCCGACATCAAGCTACTGGTATGCCTATAGAGGGCCCTACAGCCCTATGATTAAAACTTGTGTATTAGTATATTTATACTTGAGTTAACTTATCTCACATAGTCAGTCAGTGGCGTATCTAGAGGTCTTGAAATGGGGGAGGGGGGCTGATGGGAGGGCGCGATGGTGAAGTGGGGGATCTATGATCAGTTGAAGGACGCTAATTCATAAGAGACAGGCCTGGGGGAGAGCGCGACCGCCCCTAGATACGCCAATGCACGTAGTTCATAAATGCCAATTGCGAAATGTTAATTTACTTTGATAACTTTGGCTTCTTAGTCTTTTAAAGTGTACTGGGGGTAGTGGAAGAAATGGACGGAAATTCATGGACTTTATGAGAAATTGGCAGTCCGATTGACATTGAACCCATCTAATAATTAAGAAAACAAATGTGAACAGATTATAAAATATCTAAGAATAGTATATTAAATATTGTGTACCCATCTTTCACAAAGTGGACCCATTTTACATATAACATTTAATTATGTGGTCATGTTTTAAGTGGACGTTCATGAATAAAACTCAATAAATCTAATTTGGAAAGTAAGGTACTTAAATGCAGGACAGTTCCAACTGTTTAAATAGCTGGATAATGGCATACATTAGATATTAAAATATATTTGAAAAAACTAGTACCAAGTACTAGTAATAAAGATTAGGTAGTAAACGCTACTTACCAAATTGCGAACTGATTACGTATGGAACTTGGCCATTAGGCCATCTCTTATTGTTGTCTTTCAGTGCGTTTTCTAAACTCTGTAAGAAGGTTTTAGCTATGTTTAAACATATTTCATTTTAAGATGACTTTATCATCGTTTATTGCTGGTTTAATGAGCCATAATAAAGAAATATTTTAGTAGGCCTAGAATTTTGTTAATAACAGTCAGTAAAGTCAATTATTATCATGTATAGTGTATACAAATATGAACCGAGTGAGAGTGTTTCTTTTCCCTATTTTTCTCAATTGGATACATAGTTCACGAGTTTTTCTCAATCTTTAATTAAAGGCACACAATTCACCAAAATAATTAGTCATACCTAGGCCTACTTACCATAGTTTGCACGATATCGCCTTCGAAGAGATGGACAGTGTCGTCGACTTGTTTGTTGGCTTTGAGAATAGTTGAAAACAGTCCACTGGATTTAGCTAAATGTTGAAATAGTAGAAAGTATCATCAATATCTGAATTATTTTTTTGATTTTTGAAACTTTTGGGCCGGTCATAAACAGTTTATAAATAGGCTATTTTAACAATATGAGAATAAATTTGAACTTTCAAGTAAATTTGAAAATATTTAAAAATTATAATATAATTTATATAGGCTTACAAATTTAAACAATATTTAAGTATTGGTTTGCCTTGCAATGTGTCATTTTCATAAATGGTAATTGTTTAATTAAATTGTTAAAAATCCCCGTCAACCTACCTTTGGTTAATGGTCTAATAGATTCCGGTACCTGATGTATGGTGAAAAACAAATAAGCAGTTTAACCCTTTTTATATTTGCACTATATAAATTAAATCAAACCAATCATAGAAGTTATATTATCAATCCCCGTCAACCTACCTTTGGTTAATGGTCTAATAGATTCCGGTACCTGATGTATGGTGAAAAACAAATAAGCAGTTTAACCCTTTTTATATTTGCACTATATAAATTAAATCAAACTAATCATAGAAGTTATATTAACAATTTTGCAAAGTTTACCAAACACATAGGCCTAATTAAGTGTTCAAAATGATGGTAAACAGTAGTTTCCAGGACATAAACCCGACCCATTCTGTGTGTATGAACACTTTATTACAGTATCCCATTTGTCTTATGTTTTGTAGGCCTAACACACCACAAATTGGTTATTTTAGGTGTACCTACCGGACTTGACGCCACGGCAACCAGCAAAATACACACCAAATACTGCATGCTCACAATGCGCCTGCTCATCTTGGCCTCCACTTTTAAGTGTACCAAACACCGTGACCAAGAACTAGCTGCCTTTATTCTCTCAAACCTTTTTTATTGCATTTATTATCTCTTGGAAATATGGTGAAATGAGAAAATCAACATATGTTTAGATTATGTAATTGAATTTCAAGTCTTTCATCTTACACATGGTGTACCTAAAGTTCAGTTATTTGATTACTCGGCATGCAAACCTTCAGGTTTCAAGTTCTTATCTTAAACGTTTACAGAAGACCCACCGGGATGCACAAGTATAGCGACTTTATATAAGTGATTATATAATCTTATAGTAAATAAAGTCATTATAACGTTAATTAGAATACTGTTGTTCAATTGATCTTATCAATATTAACAAATTATACATTGATTGACGTCATGCTGTATATACCGTATGTTTCTATAAATTCATATAATTAGGCCTATAACTGTTTGATATACCGTAAATCGCAACACAAACTTATTTCCAATAATGATGCCAAATTTCAGTTTGATTTTTATTGAGTGCACTTGGTATTCAAATGCTATCGTTTCAATATCAACATGTATAACAGATAATATTATTAACTAATTTATTTTATAGAATAATAATTAATAATTAATTATTATATTTCCACAAAATGTATTTGTCAATTTTTAGTATTATCTTATGGCCTTCTATAGTCATCAGTCATTGGGATATCTAAGTTATTAGTTTGTGTATTGACAAAAATTTAGTGAATATAGTGCATTTTATTTGTCACCGAACAGATCAATTAGGTAGAATCGGCTGCTATAGTAGACCTGAAGAGAATATAAATCTTAACTTTTCATTTCATATAATTTGTCGTCATATTTGTTCTCTTTAGGTTACTAAATTCGTAGGCATACAGGGCCAGATACAGGGTTTAAAGTACTAGTGGGTGTTGGGGAGTTGTTTTGTGTCCAGCTTACATTGTTTTCATTCGACAAAACGTTTCGATTACGCTTATATTTTTTGGTCATATATCATAAGCCGGACACATACGACGCACATTTTTTTTCGTAGGAAAGTTTGATAAAATTATTTATAACTTTTCTTACAAACGATATTTTGCGCATGCGCTACTTTCAAGTCTGTGTCAGCCCATGGTCAGCCTGATATCATCTGCTCTGTACATTAGCCTAATTATCACAGGATCTAGTTTTCAGGCCTTGTATGGCCCTTGTATTTGAATCAATGCAAACATAAAACCAGTGATTGAATTGACTCAGTTGATTCTGAATTTTAATACATTAGCCTAAATTTAGTATATCCGGAACACAAAATTACGTGATGATAAACGCCAGACAAAAAGATGTGGAAGAGTTTAGAAGAAGGGTAGGCCTATACTGTATGTTCAACAGTGGAATGCAGAGGCAAACTCCCGGTTGTCGTAGACTTCGCTCGATGCTGTACGAATAATGAATAATAATAGATAGCAGTTACGCATCTAGGGGGAGTGAATTGTTTATTGTTTATTAATATTTCTCCACATATACATAAATTAGAAGTATAATTCATATGGAAAAAAAAGTATGTGGATGGTGGTCAAAATAAGTTTGAAAACAAACTTTAAGATATGACCACCATTAAAAATAATTAATAAATCATTATTAATACGATGACAGAAATAAAAATAATAAATAAATAAATAAATAATATGCAAAATTAAAAATTAAGTTTTAAGTAGTCTGGTTTTTATAAACAAGTAAGAATTAAACATATACAGCCACAAAAAATATGAAAAGAAAAAAAAAGAAAAAAAAATGTATATATATATGTATATATATATATATATATATATATATATTTATTATATTTATTTATATTTTTTTAAACTTTATAATTTTATTAATTAATTTTTTCCCTTTCTTTTAACCCCCTCCGGTTACCGTTAAAAATGATCACTCGTCTTGTGTGTGTGTTTCTCGTGAATACATTACGCGTAGAAGGCTACCCTGTAAAACGTACACTTTCTATTTTAAGCTTTTCAGATTTGTGGTTTCCAAAAAAAAAAAAAAAAAAAAAAAAAATCAAATGGGAAGGGAATTAATCCCCTCCCAAACCACCACCCCCTCCCAAACCACCACCCCTCCCATTTTGCATCTCGCATTATTCACTCCTCTTAGCTAAATCTTAGATCCATTACTGGATAGGGCTACGTACGATATACATTTATTTATTTATTTTATATGCATTGGGCGAAGTGGAATATTAATAAACTTTAATTTAACAACTATTTAGTACTTCGTATTTGCAGACTGACAGTAAATGTAAGGTATTAAAATTCAGAATATCATCTAAGTCATCTAAGATGCGTTTTGAGGGCCGACTTTAAAGACGCATTTATTAGCCGTGGAATTTTAAAGTTTGGAAGCACTATTTTATCAATGCTCTATTGCAGCAGAATGACATTTTTCTACCTGGTTGGTATTAACGAGTCTTTATGATCACCGTATACCCAGTAACACATTTTCGTGGTAATTAAGTGTTATAGTCACACTTACACTTTTAAATTAAGGAGCGTTCATTTGAGTATATACGTATCAATATGTTATTGAGCACAATAACACTAATATTGTAAATAAGAATCGAAGCTGTCTGCCTACTTGTGTACATGCCACCGCCATAATGTGAAGAGCTAGAGGCCATGTTGGCATGAAACGCTATATAAGTTTAACATCATAAATAAAGTCTAACATTATAAATTATAATGAAATTTGTTATTGTTATTTACTCATCTTATTGTTAGGTCTATTGTCATTTTTAAATGTATTTTAAAGTGTTTTATATGATTATTGCATTCATGTTTTTAAAATACTCTATTTCAATGTTTATTTTATATTTGAATTTGTGTATGTAGAATAATTGTTTTGATACTATTACTCGTTGTCGTGAGGAGAGCCCGGGCAGTTGATCTATCTTCTACTTTTAGGCAATCCTGTCACAGGTCAACGATATATTTATATTTATGGCGTAATAAATAAAATGAAACATATTGTTATTATTATTATTACATTTTAGACTTTGACTTTTATATGCCTAATACGTTATAGTGAGAGTTGAAGAATATTTGAGGAATGGTTGAACATTTAAAATATTATTGACAAGAATAAACCTCTGTAAGTTTAATTTCTTCATTCCTCTAATTTTAATCCATGATATACGGTATAGATAGTTGTGATTTCTATAATGTTCCGACGTTTACTATTACATCATAATTGTACTTGTCATGCGCATGAGTGGAATGTGAATATTTAGATGCTTAATCGGATTTGCTCGATTCCCGGTTGGGGCACCTATATCTCTCCTTTATCATTCCCACTAGATGTGTATAATATAATATAATATAATATAAATGAAATGGAGTGTATCTGGCGGTGTTTGAATCTGTTCAACCATGAAACCTCAGTGGTCTAATGGTTCTGAAGCTCGCCTTGACTGCGAGAGGTCGCATGTTCGAATCCCGTTAGAAGCATTTTTATTACACATTTTCGTTATTCATTTATTTATATGAGAGCTATGCTGCATGATGTATTATTATTTCCCTTATTGGAACACTGTAGTTTATGTAATAAATCTGAATAAAATCACAACAGATTTCAATGATACCTTTTAGGCTGAGCCTCATTATAAAAAAAGTGGTACAAAAGTGTTTCAACAGTTCCACTGCTCTTCGGTGTAACAATGCGGTTTTTCTAACAGATATAGTGTATAGTTATTATTTTCAGGATTTGAAATGAGTACGTCAAGGAATGGAAGCTTACCTTCCACTTCCTTTTTTATTGAAATTTTTGTGACATGAATTTAGAAAATTGAAAAGTAATTATTCATCATGTTCTGAATGATTTGTTTATTTCATTCAGAACATGATGCATATTTATTCCTAAATTTTCTCAATTCACTTCACAAAAATATTAAATTCACTATGGAAAAGGAAGTGGAAGATAAGCTGTATTAGGAAAACCACTTTTTCTGGACTTTTCATAGTTTTTTTTTTCGAATTCCTAAAAATAGCCCTTATCCGCACATTGGTTGATAGAATGTACAAAATCAACAGCAGCTGGCCTGGGTTTCATATTGACATTATCTTTGGTTGACATTTTAAGAAAAAATATGTATCCTTCTAACCTAATTAACAAAATTGTTTTAAAATATCTTGTTTTTGTATTTTCCATTAAACAGAATACATCAAATAATGAGTCCAAACCCAACATTCGCTATTTTAAGTTACCTTATATTTTTAGCAAGATTGTTAGTTCAATCATTAACTAAAGAATATTGTAATGATTTAGATAATAAATTAATTTTTACATTATTTAAAATTCAATGTCTGTTTTCTCTTCCCGTTGATGTTTTTTTCGGGCGTAATATACAAATTTACTTGCGGAAGCTGTAACGCTTCTTATATCGGCGAAACTGGTCGCCATTTTAAAAAGCGCCTTAACGAACATTTAAAAACAAAAAAATTCACAAATTTTAAACACTTAAATAGTTTCCATAAATGTAAGGACGTTTGCAACGAAGGCTGCTTCAAAATAATAGTTCTGCTAATACCCCTCATCAATGGAAAATCAAGGAAGCATTGCATACCGGTATACAGTGGGCAGCCCTCCCTTAATAGACAATTACAACATGTAAATTTAACTCTGTAATTCTGATTAATTCGCTCATCTTTATTCATGTATTTCTTTTCCGGTTCGCTTCAATTCCTTAAACATGAATGCTCCGTCTCTCATTTGATCTTATGTAATTCTTCATCTTTATCCATGCCTTTTTTTCATATGCTTCAGTCCGCCTATTTACCATGAAATATCATTGCATTTGTTCACTCCTATAAATACTTCTAAGTGTTTATAAGCATTGTTACACCGAAGATGGCAGTTGAAATGTTAAAACATGTTTGTGCCAATCTTTATAATAAAACAGTTAGGCTCAGTCAGGTTTTGTGTTATTTAAAAAAAAACGAATACAAAGCTGAATTGGTCGAATTATTTTAATTTTATTGGTATATCATTTCTATGATTCTATTAGTTGGTACCGGTCATTTTTCCAACTTTTTTTAAAGGTGGCTACATCTTTTAAAGCTCTTGTTGAACTTACTGTAGCCTTTTTTTTTTGCATTCTTATTGTATACCGTATTGTACTACTTTATTGTATGGAAAATAAAAGTATATTTGATTTGATTTCAATGGTATAATTGATAATCAGTTGTGATTTCATTCAGATTTATTGTATGCCTGCTGTTACACCGTCCATTTGTTAGGCCCTATATTATTAATATTATTATATTAACTGAATAAATGGAATAGAACAGACTCTTGCGAATAAGTTATATGGTGCGTTATTTTCAGTATCACAATAGAAGCGACTATTACTTTTTAATTACCGTCGACTAGGAAATAATAAACAGACCATCCAAAATATCTCTGTGTTAGGTTTTTTTATTCATACAATTTTAATTCATGTTTGATTTTCATAGATGATCCGTACAGTTTTAAAATGCAAAGTGTTATTGATTTTATCATGATTAAGCCTAAATTTAAGAATAATCCGCATTCGTCACTGAATCCATTTTCAGTTCAAGTAATCCGCCTCCAAAATGTGGTTGTACTCGATGTTTGATATATGTTTCGGTTTCGATTCATCTCTAAAATAAAAAGTAATGTTCAATATTTAAACATCTAGATGTGTATAAGAGACAGATTGAGTACAATGTATTATTATATATATTTATATTATATTTATGTCTTTTGCCATGCATCAAGGAATAGTTACCTAATACCTAATATGCATGCATGTGAAGGAATTACATTGCACAGACCGCAGAAGTTCCTGTGTTCGAATCCCAGTTAGGGGACCTATGTTTCACACTCAGATTCTCTGCTTTATCGTTTAAAAATTATATTTATTAAGCACCGGGCGATGATTTGGTCATTATTTACGGTAGGCCTACGTAAAAAGAACTGTCATTTTGAACGTGACGTTAAAACTTACAACATAATCCGCAAGAAGCAGGGCAGTTATCCTTCATGTATTGATAATATTGGCTGCTTGAACTACAATAGCCACTCGAAGCCCATGAGGAACAGTTGCTGTCGTTGTCTGAACATGATCCTCCGTCACCTCCTCCATTACCACCACCACCTTAAGATACAAGTATTAAACTAAAAACACAATTGAAAGAAAATGGGGCAGAATGGTAATAAATTGTGTGTTTCGCATATAGGCCTATTATGATTTGAGGTTCTTGTCGGCTAAATCTATTCATGATGTAACGCAATTCTAAAACTAGTCCTATGCGTGTATATGACTGAAGCTTGAGATATGGGTTTTAGCTATAGAAATTTATCGTAGCAGAATTCATATGTTCCACAGGTGCTACAGTAGACCGCGTATCTATGAGAAGTGGATATAAAGGAAAGAGTGAAGAAAATAAAAATATGGATGGAGAAAAAGTGTTGGATGGTGAAGTGATGCATAATGAATGAAGCAGGGGTTGGGCCAGGATTTGCCCAACGGGGGGGGGGGGAGGGGGAGCGATGGCCTTGACAAGTGTTCGGATTTCCCCGACGGAACAAAGTGGGCGTGGTCGAGCTTCGATTAAAAGGTTTCGAAAGTGGTCTAGGGAGCGAAGCCCCCGAAAATTTTGACAATTCAGGGGTTTCAAACGCTTATTTAATCGATTTTAGAGTCTACTAACACCTAGAAAATACATATAATTTTGTTTTCTCCCCGACGAATTGTGCTTTATCTCCCCGACGGGGGGGGGGGGCAGCTCTCCTCGACGGGGCCCTGGCCCCCTGGCCCTCCCGCTGGCGCCACCCCTGGAATGAAGGAGTGAAGAGGCTTATGAAGTCAATAGCAGGATTAGATTATTACGTGTAAGAGCTAATCGAACGAATACGATGTCGGTATACTTACTACACTCATAATATTTGTTAATCTTTTGAATGTCAATGCTACTGAAATCAGCACGATTCCCGATGGTGGCTCCGGATTGCTTTGGCACAATTGTTGCGTAGCCATTTTTGGAGAATGCATACTGATCGTAATGCATGATGGAATTGTAGTCATAATTCGTTCCGAGATCATCGATGAAGGACGATGAGTAGCTATCAAAATTGTAAGCCATACCTAACAGATAGGGATGATATACGATATTAAAACAAAGCACATTTTGTATACACCTAATTTAAATATATTATAGAGAAAAATTGTTCATACCAAACAAGAATGAAGGATGGTGGTTAAACCAAGAAAGATGTGTCAACAAAAACAAAATATAATGTTGACATTTTATTTTTTAATACTTTATTACACGTACGATTGTTGAAAGCATTCACATGCAAAATCGTATTAAACGTACCATCTTGGATATTATTCCAGTTGATTGTGACGTAACTGTCGCGATCAGTTCGGCTTTGTTCGTGATAGAATCCGACCGCATGCATCATCTCGTGCATGATAATACCTACGGTTCCGTAGCAACCGGTACCAAGAGAAAGCTCTTGTGCACCGCCCACTACGCCGACTGACGAATAACAACTGATGATGAAAATAATATATCATTAATATTAACAATAAGTGGACCTTTCCGCTAAGCCCTACCTCTATAATATTTTTTTCAAGGTGTGGGGGCTTAAACAGCTGAAACGTACGTAAGCTTACGAGTCTATGGACGTGCGCGTATTATAATATGTGAACGAAATATAATAACAACATACATAATATAATAATAGACGTAAATAACATAATACTAAACATACATAATATAATAACAAACGTAAATAATACAATACTAAACATACATGATATAATAACAAACGTGTATACTATAATACTTAGCCTATATAATATAACAACAAACGTAAATAATATCATACTAAACATACATAATATAATAATAACGTCAATAGTATACTACTATATGTAAATAATACAATAAACGTATGTAATGTAATAATAATAATAAACGTACGTAATATACTAATAAACGCACATAATATATACTGAACGTACATAATATAATAATAGACAAATGTAATAATAATAATAAACGTACATCATGTAATACAAAACGGCTGTAATTCAATAATAAACATGTATAATATAATAATAAACGTACATAATATACTAATAGACGTAAATAATATAATGGTAGACATATATGATATAATAATAACATACATAATATAATAAAATACATAAATAATATAACATGAAACGTACATAATATAATAACAAATGTAAATAGTATAATACTAAACATATGTAATATAGTAACAAACGTATACAATATAATAATAAACGTACGTAATATAATAATAACGTACATAATATAATACTAAATGTCAATAATATAATAACAAACATATATAATATAATAATAAACACATATAATATAATAATAAACATATATAATATAATAATAAACATAAATAATATAATAATAAACGTACATAATATACTAATATGCATAAATGATATAATAATAAACATACATAATATAATAATAAATTTAACTAATATAATAATAAACGTAAATAATATAATAACAAACGTAAATAATATAATAGCAAACATATATAATATAATATTTTTTGTAGGCTTAAGACAGCTGGGGCTTGCCATACTACTAGCTAATAAATAACACGTTGAGGTTGTCAGGTGTAAATGTTTGATTCACCCCAGAAAAGTCTGTAGTATTAACCACAAGTCAGAATACGTCTATGTATGTTATTTCAGGGGAAAGAATATTTATCAAAAGTTAGTTAACCTTACCCACTTTTAGAAACAATATTGATGTAGTTCTGTTCGTTTGTTCTCTCAACAAACTTGATGCACGTCTCAGCGTGGTACCTGTCGATAGCCTTCTGAATTTGAGATTTTGCGTAGGAACCTTTACGTATAAACATATAAATCATATTAATCGTATTTCCATAACGGTCTTAAAAACTTCTCGATAAATTCTCCAATAGCGGATAACATATTGCCTGTAATGACAACTATTTAGCAAGATTATAATATCAAAATTATAATAGAAATAAAGTACGTACTAAATTTCCAACTGATTACATATGGCACTTGACCATTAGGCCATCTTTTACTTGTGTCCTTCAGTGCGTTTTCTATACTCTGTTAAAAAGGTTTCAAATACTATTTTAGATCAGGCTTTCATTGTTCCCTGGTTTAGATTGATTTCATTAGACCACTTTACTCTTTAGAATGTGTTTCTGCTTACGAGTAGGCCTAATAGATAGCTAATTAGTTCTATACTAAATAGAACAATGAATTAGACACGGTGAAATCAATCATAATAGTAATAATAATCGATAATAATATCGACAAACAACAACAACAATAATAATAATAATAATAATAATAATAATAATAATAATAATAACAATAATAAAGGATGATGATGTTAATAACAAACAACAACAGAAATACTAATGACGATAATGTTAATAATGAAATTATTAATGATAATAAATTAGCTACCTATTGCTCTGATTTGCTTGGTCATAACTTTAAGTTACATTATCTTCCCAACTAAGTCAAAATTAACGTAGCTAGTTTTCTTACCACAGTTTGCACGATGTCTCCCTCGAAGAGATGGACTTCATCTACTTGTTTGTTGGCTTCAAGTATAGTTGAAAACAATCCTACGGATTCAGCTAAACGTTGCCATAATACAGAATATCAACAATATCTGAATTACTTTCACACTTTTAACCTAAATTATTAGGTATTGAGTGTTATGTACCAAATTATATACTTGCCTGTCATTATGAACCCTACCGGTACATTTTTTCAGGCTAGTTTCACTTTGTTTAAACACATGTTAATATTACACTGGAGGAAAGCTTAAAGCCAGGCTCCAGAGGGGAAAACATTTTTGATATGTTGTACAATTGATTTTTAAGACACAAAAATCATATTTGACGAAACACTCAGAAGCGGTTAATGACATACACATTTTTTAATATTTAAAAACTGAGGGGAACCAAGGTGGTTACGCCCCTTTTTTTTTACACCTTTTCCATCAGTTTTTAAATATTCAAAATCTGTATCTCGTTAACCGCTCCTGAGTTTTTCGTCAAATATGTTTTTTTGTTTCTTAAAAAACAGTTAAAAAAAAAAAAAAAAAAAAAAAAAAACCAGTTGTACAACATTATCAAACATTTAGCGAATTGTATAGAAATATTTAAATGCCCTTTCCCACTATCCTAAAACATGAAACAATAGAATACCGAATTAAGCCTAGTTAACATCACATTAAAACACCATAACCATAAAATGTATGTATTTGATACAAGAGTGGTAAAGAAAGGATTAAATACTTTAAGGAAACACAATTTGGTCAGTTTATTAAAACAAATGTTGTATGATTAAAAACAATTAAAAAATAAAACACTAAGCAAGTGTAATATTTACAAATTTAGATAAGCCTATTGATTACGGTACTTTTTAGTCCAAAGATCATTTAAAATATGTTGCGCATTGTATTTTACTTAACTGACAAGCAGTCGTTCGTTAAGTCTATCTCGCTTTTCCCCCCGTAAACCATTGTTTTATTAATATCCTTAAATAACGTAAACCTATACCTTTGGCCAATGGTTGAACTGGTTCCAGTGGTACCTAATGCATGGTAAAAAAAAAATTAACATTCAGTTAGACGTAGTTGTATTTGCATTGAATGAACAAAAACAAACCAAACCAGTTGAAATATAACTATTCATTTAAATGATTTTTACGTTACCAAACACAAATAGTTTTTGAAATTGTATTGTAAACGGAGCTAGACAAACAAATTAAGCAGAAATGTGGGAAAACAAAACAGAAGTATCTGAATGCTCAGTGTGGAGAGGTCGAGATTCAATTTCATAATAACGACTACAAAGTCTACAAGAGGATAAATGAGATCTCAGGTAGAAAGCTGGGCAACTCGGGTTCCGGCAGGTTGCATTAAGGCAAAAGATGGTGCAATGTTTATACAGAAAGCTATTTTAAGGTAGCAGCCAGTTCAAATGGCTGAAAACTTAAGAAATAAAGCTAATCATGGCTCTTTCGTTAAGCTCCATTTTTTCTTTTGTATACCTACCGGACTTGACACCACGGTAGCCAGCAAACAAATGAACACCAAATACTTCATGCTCACAACGCTATACTCTTGAACTCCTGACCCAAAATGCGCCAAACACCTAGAACTATTGCTTGTACTCTCTCAACCCGTTTTATAGGATTTGTTATCTTATAAAGGTATGGTGTGATGAGAAAATTAACATATGTTTAGATAACATCTCGTAATTTTAATTGGATTTCATGTTTTATCTCAAATGTTTACAGAATCGCTATCACTGTCCATAAGTAAATTGGTACTTCAAGTGATTATTCAATGTTATATTAATTAAAATCATACAATCTTACACTAATTAGAGTGATTATACAATCTCTCATTAATTAGTGAGTGAATATAGTGATGGCTATATGGCTGTTGTCAAATTAAAATTATCGATGTTTGACAATTTCCAAAATATGACTGAAGATGTATTGCTTTTTGTAGGTTTCTATAAATATATTTATAACTATATGACAACTTCTTGTCAGTCCCAACATCAAACAATAAACAATATGCTCAATTAATGTTTCTTCTAAATACTTTGTATCGAGCTCATTCGTTTATTGAAAGCAATATTTTGTACAGTACCATACAATAGAGAAAATAACATATTCTCAATGAATGAATGAATTAATGAATGAATCAATGAATCAATCAAATCAATTAATCAATCAATCAATCAGTCAATCAGTCAATCAATCAATCAATCTATTAATCAATCCTTCATTCTTTCTTCTTTCATACATTTCTTTGCTTATGCAAAACTCCTACTGATAAAAATTTATTGACAAAGAGCAAAGCCTACCAATTTATCATTTGTTAAGAGTCGAAAGGCCGAGTGGTCAAGGCAGGGGCGCCGAAACCTACAACCATATCGGCGCTGGTTCGAACGGCACGTTCACCTGTGGTTCTGGTGGTGGAACATGTCTTTTAACCGTAGGTCCCGTTTACATAATTGTGCACGTTAAAGAACCCAGTGCATTTTTCGAGATGAGTAGGAGGTTACCACGGTGTACATGGTTTCATACAGACCCTGTTGTTAGTTCACTGTTTGGCATCCTTGGCCCAGTGCCTAAAACCTGAATAGATACGAGTTTAATACGTTATTATGTCAAAGGAAAGACTCAGCAGTAACCGAAACAATAAATATGAATAGATCATGTGCGAACAATATAATCTGTGCCTTAAATATGCATGGAATATTAATGTATGAACCATTTTATCACATTAAACGTTAAGTGCCGATTGTCACATATTGTAACCTTAAGTTTACCGATAATGGGCATACGTTTTATGGTTTTAAATATTTCCCTATTAGGGGTTTGTAGCGAGAGTATAATATCAGGAAATGTAGGTGAGAAGTACACTTTAGCTGGTCTGACCAATATACAGTTATATTAATAATCACTGGCTGTAGTTTACAGGGGTGTATCCAGGATTTGTTCTGGGTGGGTCGTGAGGATATTTTTTTGGACCTTTCACAATGAAATAACAACTTGATGTGATTAAAATGTTAATATAATTTTTACAAAAGTGCTCGAATTTAGATAGATTACGTCACGCAATTGTCAAGGTCTTTGGACTCATTGCTAGTACCTCATTATCAAACTTTTTCATTTATGTCATTGTAAAAAGGCCCTAGAAAAAATGTCTTTAGAAAATGGACCCTTGAATATTTTATTTGGGGGTGCGCGGGGTTGTTGGACCTTTCTGACACCTCCCCTTGCATACAATCATGGTTTATATATATGGATTAATGCGTTTAATAATAAATAAATAATGTGTAATCATATATGTAAATACAGTGATTTTAGCCTTCTCATGTTTTTAATGTACCTCTATCTTGTTTGGCATTGGGAATTCGCAATCAAGTTACCTATTATATTATTTTTATAAAATAAGTAATAGAACTGGTATTATTAATAGACGTTATTAGTTGTCTAATGATTTTTGAATATGACAAATATAATGTCGAGTGAGGTCAATAACGGCAATGTGTTTACAAATTTGTGGACATCTAACAGCCAAATAAGTAAAAACTGAACTCCCCATTTGCTATTTCAAATGAAGTGCGTTTTGTTCGACTGATATTGACATTGTAATCTATAGCACCTACCAGGGCCGGCGGAACGTTTTTCAAAGTGGGGGAGCCACTAGTAAGCTGAATGGGAATATGAATCAAGGGTCTGTGTTCAAGTTTAAGTGGTGGGGGTAAAAATGTTTCCAAAACCTCAAAAAGAAATTGGGTCGGGGGTCCTTCCCCCAGGAAAATGTTGATTCCTAGATGGTGGGAAATAAGCTTTCATGACTTCTGAAGTGTCTTTTAATGACTTTTAAGTTCTTCCAAAATTCAAGGTTTTATATTCCCTCCTGAAACGGTGAGGTAAATTTCTCTCGTTGTTATTACGGTAAATATGCTTATATGTGTACCGGTATACATACAGAAAAAAAAAATAAGTAGCTGTATACGTATTCTTTTTCTATCAATGGATGAACCCCAGAAGGGTCGGGTGTCCTCCCCCGGAAAAGTTTGATTCCAGATGGGATTTACCGGCTTCTGATGTGTCTTTTAATGACTTTTAAGTACTTCAGATTTCAATTTTTCCCCTCTTGAAAATGATTCCATGAATCAATGAACCCTACAGAAAAGGGGGTTCGGGTTCTCCCCGGGAAAATGTTGATTTCTAAATGGCGGGAAATGAGCTTTCCCGACTTCTGAAGTACCTTTTAATGACTTTTTAAGTTCTTCAAAATCCAAGGCTTTCCCTCTTGAAAACGGTTTTCATGATTCGATGAACTCCAAAAATAAAAGGGGGTCCGGGCCCTTCCCCGAGAAAATCTTAATTCCTGATGGCGGGAAATGAGCTTTCCAGACTTATGGGTCCTGAAAAGGTAGATCTAGAATTCTTTTTATTTATTTATTTTTTGCCAAAGGGATTGGGGTCAGGATCCCCACCCCTCCCCCACCCCCCGCCAATGTGGATTGCGATCCATGAATCAATGAACCCTACAGAAAAGGGGGTTCGGGTTCTCCCCGGGAAAATGTTGATTTCTAAATGGCGGGAAATGAGCTTTCCCGACTTCTGAAGTACCTTTTAATGACTTTTTAAGTTCTTCAAAATCCAAGGCTTTCCCCCTTGAAAACGGGTTTCATGATTCAATGAACTCTAAAAATAAAAGGGGGTCCGGGCCCTTCCCCGAGAAAATCTTAATTCCTGATGGCGGGAAATGAGCTTTCCAGACTTATGGGTCAGGATCCCCACCCCTCCCCCCCCTCCCGCCAATGTGGATTGCGAGAAAAACTCGGTCGGGAACTGGATAAACACTCTCTTTTCGCTCCCTCTCCTCCTTCTTTCCTCCTTATTTTCTTGCATTTCGTTGCGGGTGTCGGTATTGGGTACTATGGACGCACACTATAGTGAGTTTGCATTATTTATACTGTATGTACTGTAAACGCACTACTTAGGGTTTTAACATGAGCATACTCTTAACAAGAGTATAAAACTTCAGGAGGTCCGACTGCTTTGAATTTGTATGCAGCAAGGTATGCAGGCAATGGAACGCTGAAAGTACTGCCACACAAAATTAATAGGGGGCGTCCTACACATAATTTAGAAACGTGTACGCGTTGCGCGAATCTTTTAAAGGCCACGCCTCTTCGTGGAAGTACTTTTTGCGTTCGAACGAATCCCCGGCAGTAGGACCTCTTGCAGTTTTATACTCTTTGAGCATACGAATGGTGCAACAGTATTGTCGTAGAGAAGTAGAATGCTGCAAATAGTGTTTTGGCCTAATTCAGTAATCAAGCAAACGTATTTTAGACATCCTTCTTCATTAGTTATTGAAAATAAAAGAATAAACGCAAGTAGGCCTATGTAGCCTACAGACCTATAATCTAAATGTAGACAATATGTAACTGGTATAGCAGGTGGCGCCATGATTTTGTGGGGGGGGGGGGTTTGGACGTCGCTCAAAATCTCTCGAAGTGATCTAGAAGGGAGGAGCTTTATGAAAAGACTTTAAAGACTTATTTGTACGATATTAGAGTCTACTAATTATTTTTTAAAAATGTATATAATGTTTTCTTCTCTTTAGACGAAGTGTGTTTTACTCCTTAACGAGGGGACCAGCTCTCCCCGACGGAGCATCATTGTGACACATTTGAATTATCAAAAATAAAATGAAAGTCAACAAATTACCCAAAACCTCTTCACAAAAAAATCATTGGGTTGGAATCACGATGGCTTGTACTACTTTCTTCTACTTAATTATTCATGAACCTGTAGTAGTGTCCCCCATATAACGCTTACCCACTTTCTTCGGACTTCCCTTCATTCTGTTGTGCGCCCTCTTCTGTCTTATTCTTTTTAGAGTTTATAATACTTACGGTACTGTTATGATTGAACTGATTTTGCAAACAGACAAAATGTTCTATATATTGCCAGCGAAACATAATACCGTGTATCTTGTTGGCAATATAATTAATTTGTGAGGTCAAACAGGTTTTATTTTGTTTTAGTTCAGTTTTCTGGGCGGATTCATAGATCACCTGTGTGAGCTATTTAGCTCATTTTTAGCTATATAAATTATACAAGATACAAGGTACAAGATTATTTTATTGCCACTTATGGACGATAACTTATGCACTAATTAAGATATTCTACACTGATTTAGAGCTAAATGTGCTACTGTAATTTGTTTTAACGTACTTGTATTTTAATTGTCTGGAATCAGTGACTCTCTGACCCAAATTGAATGTAACCTTTTCTTTTCTCATTTTTTATAATTTCAAAAAATCTAGAGGGCCCAGACATAAAAATTCAACTAGTACCGTATTTTATTGTAAATAATGATATACTTCATAGTACACAAATTAGGCCTAGTCTTTTAAAAATAGTTCCGACAATTAACAAATCAACAATTTTCGTAGCTTATCAATAATAGTTTACTCCTATAAGTTAATTGATATGGGCTTAAACATTGTATTACATTTTAAATTTTCCAGCGGAAGATGTAAACAGCTTGCTGTAGAACATGGGCGCTACACTAGTCCCGAAAGCCTATGATGGGTCATGAGCGATAACCTTGAGGTCCTCACTCTGAGCTTTTAAGAGGTCGGATTAATTTAAAATTATTTCCCCGACACATTCGTTTATTATTTACTTATGTTGTAAGTAAAAGTCAGCAAAAATGAAGACATTTGCTTTCTCTTTAACGAGAGTTTCCGATTTAAATATCATTTATAATTATATAAATATAAATATGAGCTATTATGCAGCTTAAAAATAAAGTTCGCTACACTGTGAGACCTCAAGTTGTATGAAGGGAGAGAGACTAGTGGTCTTCTTAGATCCGTACTAATATCGTATGGGCCTCTGTGGTCTAAATGGTATGACCTCGCCCAGAGACCGTGTGATTTTTGGTGCGATTCTAACCAGAGACCTCCTTTTTTTGAAACTATAGTTAGGAACTTTTGTTGAGCAATGTCTGATACGATGTATAACATCATGTTTCTATATATCTGAGCACTGTATTATTATATAATTTATTTTTACATTATATGTGCTC